ATGAATTTATTAAAATAAAAGAAATTAAATTTGATATTTAAATAAGAGTCTCCTTCTGTGCTTGTTCATACTCATGAAATGTACCTAGAGTATTTATTCTGGAAAGTCAAATGAGGGCAAAATTTATTTTCTAAATAGTTACTGAAAAGGAGAGTGAGTTACTTTAAATTCCCAAAGAAGTATCAGACTCCATCACCTAGTGTCAAAACGATCTATTCAAATATCCAGACCTGATATTTTCTTAAATGATTAATTTTCACAAATTCTCTCCCAATAGATACTGCCAAATTTCCAAGTGTTTTTTTAAATTTCCTCGCAACTTATTATATATTAGCTAATAAGTGTATTCAGTGCTTAGAATCCTTTACTTGATATTTTAAAATGTTATTGATTATTAAGGTGTTAAACAAGTAAGTGTTCTACATGGTTTATAATACTGATTTATCTAAAACTAAGTTCGTGATATGCCGTGTATTAGATAGGAGATGATTGTATGGCAGCTGCTCTCATAAAGAATGAAACAGTCATCCTACCATGTTATTTAATGTTTCTTAAAGTTCTAACTAGCCTCCTGATTATCAAGTGAGCAAAAGAAGAGAAAATAAGATATTTAATGTGTATTTTGAGACACAGACAGCTTTGTCTGTGGTTTAAGCCCATTTAATGATCAACTGGTGATCCCATCTTATTTCCTTTTGCAGTTATTGTCAGGCATTTAGGAATACCTATTTGTAAATTGCCAACACTTTAAAAGTCAGAAAGTGGTATTAAAATGTGCTGTCAACATACAAGTAATTCACATAATAAAGACTTATCTCCTGCTGTTTGAATATATTTCACTCTACTAAGAGGTCTCTATTATGCTCTCATAATTATAAAATACCTCATAGAGCAGCATGCAGTTATACAATACATATAATTTAGTTTTGAAAAACCAGTCTCATTAACATGCCAGAAAAATTCATTATTTTAACCAGTTTCATTTATATTTAGATTATTCATAACACTATAGATTTATAATAAATAGATTGCATAACAGACACATGCTTGTGAAATTAAATAAAATCCATTGAGAAATACAGAGTTGATCTATCACTTTAAAATGTTTGTTTTTAAAAATAACCACAAATTAAGTAATATAATAAAATATATTTAGAATTAATAATATTTTAGAAATGCGAAGTATATAGATAGTCAAGATATTAAGCTTCCCTGTTGACAAAACCCTGCTGGCTTTCAGCCCTTACTTTGGGTTAATGGTAAAAATGATACACAAATTATTTTTCAAGAACTTCAATGAAATATACTTTTTGGTTATTAAAAATCAATACAATCTAATTCTTGCCACAACTGCCTTTAAAGATTTAGTCACATTTAAGGACCTGGACTGGGAAAAATAAGGAAGAGACACTTTGGATCTTCGTAAAGCAAATGCACGATTAAGGCCTTTGATATTATCCTGATTGAAAAGCTTACTCCAGGCAAAGGGGAAAAAACTTCTACAACTGAGTTAAATAAACATAAAGGTAGAAGGAAATTTGCCATCTTTCACAGAAAATAATAGTAATATTGGAAACAGTTTTAAAAGAAAGTCCTTTCTTGAGTTATGATACAACTTCAGAGTCAGGATTATACATACTGAAAATAAGCTTTGAGACTCCTGTTTTTGTGTGTTTCATTATATGTACAAGGACTAACCCACAATAAGTGGGTGTTAGTATCTTGATAAGTGTGTTTAATATAAACAAGATTGCAGAATTTTATTTAAAATGTTTGCCAAAACAATTTTTTTCAGTATTCATCTACCACTCTTCCTGTTCGTCAAAAATCCTCTAAGATCTTATTCTGAACATGGGTTAAGTGGTTCACTGTTTGTGAGATTTATATAATCTTTTAGTTTTCAATAGGAAACTTTTAAATATATTAAATTTGTGGCATTGGTATCATTATCAAATCTGGTAAGTAGAAAAATAAAAAAATTCCTTTTTCCATTTAATCTACTTGAAACAACAAGATAAATTATTTACTATCTATGCATAACCTTCCATACTACTGGACAGTTTGCAAGGTCAGTGTATTCTGATTTAAAATACACAGACTGTATGGTCATTGTCAGTTAATAGTATATCTCCCTCCACTTAAATGTCTAATTCTTGTAACTAAAACACAGCACCCAAAAAACCCTCTCCCCAATTTTCAATGCTTCAAGTGTGGCATTTCTGAATACGAATAGTTCATAAGAATATCACCAGAACTCTAATAAAGCATCTATTTGAGACCACTTTTTCATTTTTTTCTGTTCTAACCCTTTCAACTGAGTTACATGATAACGCTCAGAGGAGGAAAAAAATTATCAGGTACAATACTTGGCAGCTGGACACGTTTCCTTTGTTGCTTGTAAATTTAATTACTAAAATTTAGAAGATACCACGGCAAGACCACAGAGACAAAAACATAAACTGAGCTCTGATTAGAAAATACAACTTTTTATTCCTTCTCAATCCTGAATGGGTTGATGGTATTACATTAACTGTGAAATGTACATCCTGTGCCCGTGCCCAGTCCACCTATTCCAAACTAGGAAAGGTCGTTTGTCAAAACTTGAAGAATTTGAAGGAAAAACACCCTCGCCAGTAGTCAAGAAAATTTACGTTAAAGTCAATTATTGGAGCACAGTACGGAAACCACTAATAGCAGTGTATTTACTTCAAATAATAATCATAATAATGTGTTTACAGAGCTGTCTACCCCCCCCCAAAAAAAAAACTCGGCGTTGCTACGATTACTTTCAAATCCCCACCGTCACAAAAACATTACAAAAATTAAGACCAAACCTGGAACCCACTTGATATCGAGGATGTTATTGGATTTGACGAGTTTGTTCAAAGTACGTCATTTTGGGGAGTTGGATCCATTTAAAGATATAAAATATGGCAACCAACTAGGTTTAAAAACAGTGAAATTTTGTACCCCTGAAAGCTTTAAAGCTGTTATTCTAGAAACCTGGGTCACGTAGGCAACATTATTGACCTGTTTTCCCCACCTCTCTGGATACCAACCTGCAGCGCAGTCCTTCCAAATCCATTTTGTGCATTGACGTTTACATTATTTTGCAACAAACTAGTAAGTTGTTCTAGGTCCCCCCTGGCAGCTGCGGACGCCAACTCGTTCCCCCAAGGTTCGGCCATTCTTTAGGGTCCTGACGATCGGGAAAAGATGAATTAGTTGTTTATCTTTTTTCCCTTTCTTTTGCTCCTAACCAGGCTGCATGATGGCATCGGAGACTGACAGAAGGACTGGGATGGTTAATCTGGAGTAGAGCTTGGTAGTAAATACTAGTAAGATCTGCTTGCCAAAAGCCCGCCCCTCGATTCACACGTGATTATTCAGCAAAACTGAGCCATTGGAGAGGGGCTCCGCTCCTTGCTTTTTAGCTTAACCCCTATGAAGAATTCTGGTGATTCAATAGAGAGACATACAGACACATTCCTGGTAAATTAGCCTGGATGTAAAATGTAGGCAGAGCTGTCACTACAACACTACAGATCTCTGCGAGGAATGTGCGGAGGCTTAAGGCACTAGATCAGGGAGGAAATACCGCGAAAGAAAGGAGTTTTTTTGGGGGGGGGGCAGGGGAGGCATTAACCCACCCTTGTTCACGGTGGTGACTTGAGCCGCGCGAGCCAGAACTGCAGGGGCAGGTCCTCGGAGAGGCTCGGTCTCCATCCGTCACGCCCGAAGGGGTAGTCCTCAGTCCTCCGCTGCTGGGAGAGCGCAGCTGTAGCTGGATGCTGACGTACTCCGGGGGGTTAAAGATGATCGCCAAAGGCAAACGGGAGTAGTAGTTCCGTGGCCCTCAAGTTATAGGTCGTAACGACTCCTCAGTGGCCTCGGCTTCTCTGGAGGAGCCTTAATTTGCGTCCGGGCCGAGCCGCGGGCTAACGCCGCGCGGGAAGGCTCCGGAGCCCGCCCGCCGGGCCACCGCAGCCCCGCCGAGCCTCAGAGGCTGTGGGAGCCAGTCTCGGCGCGCGCCTTCGGAGACCGCCGGGCGCCCAGCGGGCCTGGGGCAAGCGGGTCATTCCTACCCCACCGGGTTGCGGGACCTCCAGCAGCTAGAGGGAGGGAGAGCGATGCGGGAAGCGTCTATGGAGCTCGGGCTGCTAGGGCAGAGCCTGGCAGCATCGCGGCTGCACCGGGCAGCCCACCGGTAACTTCCCGCCTACGGCCGAGCCAGTTCAGACTTCCTACTGTAGACGCTCAATGAGCTGCCGCCGCCGGTTTTCGGAGGGCCTCCGGAGATCAGGAGGGTCCTGGGAAGATCGGGCCAAGCTCCGAGTGTGGGGAGTCACTACAATCCCTAGACGCTGCCAGTCCCGCTGCCCTTTCGGCGAGATCCCAGTAGCTTCGGCTACCCGTGCCACTTCGCCAACCTCTCGCGGTCCCCCGGCTTCTGCTCCCAGCTCGTTTCACCAGCAGGACAGCGGCCACCAGCCAGCTGTGACCTCGAACCCAACTGGGTAGTACAGCTTCCTTCCGAGCCGCAGCGCTCTCAGTGACAGTTTCTTTTGTAGCTGGTCTCCCCCAAATCGCCGGTCCCTGCTCCCTTCACTCCTATAGACACTTGAGAGTTGTCCCCCTTTTTGCTCTTTTTCTTCTCTCCTTTCTTTGCTTCTTTTTTCGCTCAAACAATTGCTGCCTCTGTTGCCGTTGCAGAGACGGTGCCGGTTTCTTCTCCCTTTTTTCCGACCTCATCAGCTTTTTTTGAAAAGAAAAAAATTGAGCGCTTTTTGAGTTGAAAAACCCGCCCCCATTTTAACGGCAGAATTTTAAGGAGGCTCCGCGGAGTTGCAGCTCCGCGGGAGCGGGAAGGCCGGGCGCCGCCCACGCCCCGCCCTCCGCCCTGGTGGCGCTCTCTTCCCCCGGACCGCCTCACGCTCCGCCCCCCGCCCGGCGTCCGACTCCCGCCTCCACGCTCCCCTCCTCCTTCTCTGACTCTCCTGCTTCGCTCCTACCCGCCAGCCCCGCGGCCTTCTTCCGCGGGCCCGCGCAATGGAGTTGGCGACGCGAAACCCCGGGCAGCAGAGAGCTGACGGGGGCAGCGCGTGAGGGGAAGAGGCCTGTTAATTAACGCGATTGCGTAGAGCCACAGGGCCTTAGAGGCTGGGCACCGCTGGCTGCTGGAAGGCGGAGAGCTAGCGGGCCTCTGCGCTCCTCTGCCAGGCTCTCAAAGATCCGGCGGCCAGGCCTGTGTTGCCGCCTCTTCTGCGGCTCACGCTGTGTAAACTTGGCCTCCTTTTTTCTGCGGGCCCCAGCCTCGCACCTGCCAGATCGACCCAGGGCTGCGGTGGGCAGAGGTACCCTGGGGGTGGAGGGAGAGACCCGGACTGACAGCAACTACAGTGCTCAGCAAGTTTTTATAGAGTGGTTTTTAAGAGTACTAAAGACATGGTATATAGGTAAGAAATCATGACGAACTCTGAAACCTTAATGTTCCAGGGACTCGAAACTGTGAAATATTCCATTTTTTCAGGGAAAGGGAGAAAAGCAATTAATTTTAAAGCACAACTTAAAATAAGTCTTGGGAAGGGTTTTCTAACAAGGCCACTTCTTTACTGGCCAAAGTTCTCACTTTGACTACATAGATGGGGGCTTGTTTTGGGGGGCAGGGGTGGGGGGAAGTGTGTCTAAATGTAAATCATTTATTTAAATCATCGGAGACAACAGTTCTCTCTGTACTTTTAAACTTCCTCTTTTAGCTATGTAACATTAATTAACTACAGCTTTCTATATTTTTTGTCCTTAAAAATACCCAACACGGTTACATGATGCATCCAGTGGTCAAAATGAAACCAAGCAAAAAATGACAAGTGGTCTAATTAGTACTGGCTTCTAGTAAGCATATCCTCAAGCAACATCTGTACTCAGCTCCTTGAAGTATACTGGGAATATTAGCAACAAAAACACACCAGAAACATCTGGATAATCGTGTAGCAACAGACTGGCTGGTAGGTGTGTGTGTGGGGTCGTGTAAACCGGGAGGAATTTGGCAGTGTTTTCTTTAACTGAATTGTTGAGAAAAAAAATAACCAGAGTTTTTTTCGTAGGTAACAAAACTTGAAATGTGAATGAAGCGTAAACTACACCACGGGAAATTAACTCTTTTCTTATACTTATTTACACATTTTAAATAGAACATCTAGGATTCCATTTTCTCACCAGTAAATATCATAAATAATACAATTTACTTTTGATTATTCTGTGGACTTACTGTGTAATTTTTTGGTGCAGCTGGAGGGTGTGATGATATAGTAGTATTGTTGGCCTGTAAGAGATAACTGGCACTAATCCAATTTATGAGAATTGCTTTCTAGCATTATTATGGTTTCCTACTAAGAGAAGATACTGTAATGAGGAAGAACATTAAACTGTAACTCATTATAATATATAGGTACACATATGTTATAATTTTTGTGAAATAAAATACTTTTGCTTAGTAACAGTAAATAAAATTTATGGCAATTTAAGAGGCATACAGTAGAGCTGAATTAAGATTTTTGCAGGTACTATGCACCGACATGATTTTGATGTCTTACCACCTCACCTCATATGTAAATAAAATTAAAGTAATACTAAACCAAAAAATGTGTAAAGTCTAACAAAGTTGCTTTTGCTGAAATATTAAATCCTTTAAGAAAGTATTTTTTTTTTTTTACTCTGGTGTAGCTCGTGCCCTAAAGCATATATATGCTTAGTCTGCTTATTGTGTAAGCTAGAAGTGGCAGCATAGAGGTTTTAGCCTTAGCTCAGAGAGCATAAGTAAGTACTACAAAGTACCTTCAATGAAAATCTAATATTCATTGAGTGCCAGTTCACTGAAGTAGATTCAGAAGTATTTCTGCCCTCAGTAAGCTTACATTCTAACATGGTGTACAAGAAAGATGCTCAATTAAGTGCCTATATATTGAAAGTAGTGGTTTTTCTTTTAACATAGTAATGACATATTACTCAAACACTGAAAATAGAGGCTTTGTAGTTGGATATTAAATACTCACTGTCATGAAATTTTTTTCAACAGTTCACACTCATTTTAAAGGGCTTATAGAAATATAATTCAGTCAGATTACTTTGGGACTTTTCCTAATTGACTTAAGCATGCACAGTTTCTGAATGATTGACTTTTGGAAATATGTGTATGGTATTTACAATTTCTTTACCTAGTTTCAAAGTCTTTCTCTATTGTATTTATAGATCTAACAGAGGTGGAAAGCAGACTGGTACCCCCCAGGGAACCTTTTAATCATTTCATAATTGTGGCTTTGGTATTTTATTTCTGAGATTCAGCAGGCTTTTTCATGTGGGTACTCACATCACTTATGAAAGCTTTTTGGTAAAGTAAGAAAAAAATTGCCCAGTAAGCAACTCAGAAGCATAAACATAATAGCAATAATTAATATTTATATGGTGTTTCATGGTTGTAAAATATGATGCACACATTATTTAATATTTACAACAACTCTTTGAGGTGAAATAATTATTCTTGTTTTTTTCAGGTGAAGGAATTGAGGCCTATAGAGATTGTAACTTAAAGCCAGTAAGTTGTGGATATAGAATTTAAGTTCAGATCTTGAGGTCCCAAATTTTGTACCTCTTTCATTACTTAAGAGTTCAGGATTAGGCACTAAATTCCTAAAGAATATTAAACCACTAGATGGAATATATTTTGATTACTGAAGTGTGGATCTAGTAGTATTAATTTTCTTGTGAATTATAATTGAATAGTATTGTTAAGAACCTTGATTAACTTAACCAAAGGATCAAGGTTAACATCACCAGTAATAAGTCATGTTGATATCATGTGCTGGGAATATATCACCTTTGTGGTGTTCTTCCCCCAAATCCATAAACTCAGCGTAATTCAGAAAAAACATCAGATAAACCCAAACCAAGGGACATTCTATGAAGTTCCTAACCACTAGTCTTCAAAAGTCAAGACTGAAGGAAATATCACAGATTGGAAAAGGCTAATGAAACATGGTGACTAAATATAATGTACGGTATCCTTGACTGGACCTGGAACAGAAAAAGGACATTAATGTAAAAATCCAAATAGAATCTCCTGAGTATAAGTAATAGTATAGTACCAACGTTAATTTCTTAGTTTTGATAGCTGTACCATGGTTGTGTAAGATGATAACATTAGAGGAAGCTGGATAAAGGTGTACAAGAATATTCTGTGCTATCTTTGCAGCTACTCTGTAAGATTATTTCAGATAGAAAGTTAGCATAATAATTAGAAATAAACTTTATTATATATATTTTAGAGAAAGATGAAAAAAGTTCCTTTTAAAAGCGTAATGAATATCAGAGAACATAGAGATTCTAAAAAAAGATCTATACAGTATTTGAATTAGGCTGGGCTCCATGAGTTAATGTGGTAGACCAACTATGAGAATAGAGGATAGATTAAAATTATTTTTTTGGCCGTGGCTGGTGTTGCTCAGTGGATTGAGTACTGGCCTGTGAACCAAAGGGTCGCTGGTTTGATTCCCAGTCGGGGCACATGCCGGGGTTGCGGGCTGGTTCCCCGGTGGCAGGGTGTGTGAGAGGCAACCACACACTGTTATTTCTCTCCTTCTCTTTCTCCCTCCCTTCCCTCTGTCTAAAAATAAATAAATAAAATATATTTTAAAAGAAGTAAAAATTATTTATTTTGTTCATGTTTATGTACAGAGAATTTCTATTCTTCTCTAAATATGTAACACTGAAATGAAATAGTTTCTCTTAATGGAGGAATTCTTGAGAAATGAAAAGCGAAGTTTTTCCTCCTTAATTCAGTATTTATTTTTCTTTTATTCTTCTTCCTGTAGTGGACAATTACTCTGGATACTGGCTATCCAACCATGAAGAGTTAGGTCATAGGGAAGAATCAGTTTCATCAGGAACTGTACAAATTTTGCAGCGTGGAGGGTGAATTGCAGGGAGGCAACAGGGTAAGTGGAAAGAGCACTAGTTTTGACCTAGGTCTGTTGCTTTGTACCATGACTTTGGGAAAATTCTTAACTTCTCAGATTAGTTTTTTGTGCTGTGGTGGTTGTAAGAATTAAATGAGCTAAGTGTGTGAAGTACCTGTGCATTTTAGACATCCAATAAAATTAATTCAAAAGTATTAGTTATTGTATACTTAGAACTTTGCTATGTATGAACTATGGTGAATGTAAAAATATATGGGATGAAAGGGTTTATAATCTCAAGGAACTTTCAACCTTTGGGGAAAGGTTAAAACATGCATAGATGAAACAAAGAAAAAATTAACAAATTTTATCAGAGCATTAAATTGTGTTATAAGATAGTGAAAGCAGTGAGTAGAAGGGAGAAGAATCTTGTTAGCTTAAGTTTTATGAAAGAATTGGTCCTGCAAAAAGCATTTAGGAATTGGTATACAGAATAATAACTGATACGCTTAGAGAGCTTTAAGGTTTTTGAAGTTTTCACAATATTATATTACTCAATATTCACAATTACTCTCTGAGATAAGTTTTATAAATTACATTTTAGAGGTAAAGAAATTGAGACTCAAGTTTTTTTGTTAAGGGGAGGAATTAGAACTCAAGTGTAGTGAATGCTGACTATGAAATATATGCTTATTTTGTAAAAATATTTTATGTTTTCCATGCATTTTGTTAATTGTTTTCTCATCATCTGAAGTAGTCATGTCAGAAACTGAAGTCAGAGAGACTAAGTGACACATCTAAGTTCCCCCAACAAATTAGTTGGGAAAGCATTACTAGAACTCATATGCCTGAAAGTCTAGGGTATTCCCATTTTTCTATATTACTACAATGTTTTAATTTCCAGATAGCCAGAAGGAAGGGAGAAGTGGTGCAGCACTGGATTTGAATAGGGTTTTTTTTCCTTCTGTCATCACAGAGAAAAACCTCAACTTTTCATGGCTGTCTTATCCTAGCCTGGTATCTAGAGACAATTATTCACCTGCCTTGTGCTGAGAGTGACATACATGAATGGGACAAATGAATTGCCACACTTAAATTGCGGTAGTATGTTTCACTTCATGATTCACATTCTAGCTATATTTTGAAATTACTTCCTTAAGGATGTCAATTAAACAAACACTCCATCGCATGTGAGTATGGAAAGTTGTACTCCTTACCTAATTAATGCTGATCTAAATACAGATTTTCACCTAAGAAAATGCACAGAATAAACTTAAGTCTTCAGAACACCCTAGTGCTCTTGTTTGTGTTCAGAAAACACAAAGACCCAGGTCTTGATTCTATATGGTGATGTCACTAGTCTGTATTTTAACTCTACAGCAGAAAATCAGCAATCTTACCTCACGCTTCAGGAACTTACATACTTTCCAAGGCAAGTAAATGCTATATTATATTTTGAAGATGATATTTTCCCATGTCAAAGTTGAACATAATCCTAGTCACTCTTTCTCCAGTCGGGACAATTACATATTGTCACACTTCATTTGCACATAGTCTTTGGCTGTTCTTGGCTCAAAGCCTGTCAATTTCTTTCTTTAAAAGGCTTTGTTTACTTTTAGAGAGAGGGAAAGGGAGAGAAGAGAAGCATCCTGTGCGAAAGAAACATCTGTCGCTGCCTCTCTCACGCCCCTAGTCGGGGACCTGGACCAAACACCCAGGCATGTGTCCTGACCGGGAATGGAACTGGCCACCTTTCACTTTGCGGGAGGGAGCCCAACCAACTAGGCCACACCATGGGGGCCCGAAGCCTGTCAATTTCTGACAATTAGTTGAAAATTTTAGTAATTGGTGATTTCTTCACTTGCGAAAATACCTTAAATAGACTGAGTATATTCAAAGCTGGACTCAAGTTTTCTCCATTTGTAAGATGTGTCCCTGGTTTAAAAAAATAATAGAAAGGTTTTTTATTTGTCCTAACAAGAAAACGCTCATCTTTTTCTTGGGGTGGATATTCACATATTTCTCAGCTTCCACATCTTCCCCATGTATACCATCTGAGGATGCAGGCGTCAGGGGGATTGGGATTAAGTGTGAATGTAAACTGATTTTGACAGGTTGAGTGTAAAAGACTATATGAGGTTGTATTTTGGTGAAACTTTGAGAAAATGCACATTTATAAAATGCTGTTAGACGGGTTGTCAGAGTGCGCTGAGTTGGTTTGAGGCTTGATATGTATGCGCGTGACTGTAACGACGTAAAGCACAGAATCTGATCCCTGCCCCAACTAGGGGGAAGCGGTACCGCGAAGATTTTGCTTAATTCCAAACCGGAATAACCTGTTGCGGGAGTCCCGCAGATGGATTTTGGCGTGCCCGCCAGCGGCTCCCGGATCCCTGCCTGGTAGTGGCGCCCCCAGCACTTGACAGAAGGGCTGTCACGTGGCAGCCGGAAAGCGGCGTTTTGCGACCTCGATGACAGACAAAATGTGCGACAGCCGTGGTGTAAGCCAACCAGGGGCGGAGGCGGCGGCCGGGTAGGAAGAGGAGGAGGCGGAGGCGTTCGCGGCGTTCACCCGCCAGCCTGTTCGCTCGGTTTCCCCGCCCCCGCCGGTCTCGCCGTGGCTGAAGGGAGCTGAATCTGTGCTGTCGTAGCCTGACCTCATCCTGGCCGGCTACTGTAAGACCGGATCCGCATCCAAACCAACATCCCTTTCGGGGCGTCTGCGGCGCGGTCTCCGCTGGGCGCAGGCGGGCGGCCCAGGTTCCTGAAGGTTACCGAGTGCATGAGCTCCTAGCCTCCCGCGCTGCCCCGCCCGCCGGCCCGCGGGCCCGCCCGCCGGCTCGCCCGCCCGCCCCTTGGCGCCCGACGGTGGCGGCGGCGGCGGAGACGGCCGCAGGAGGCGCCGTCTCCCTCCCAGGTGCGCGCTTCGCTCCCGGAGCCGCGGCACTCGGAGGCCGCCATGGCGTCCAACATGGACCGGGAGATGATCTTGGCCGATTTTCAGGTGAATTATCTGGCCCTGTTCCCTTCCCACCTCAAACCTCGTGGGTTCCCGGTGCTAGAAGGGTGGCCTCTTCCCAGCGTTTATTTGACCACTGCAGTGGTTTGGGGTGTTATCCGGTACTTGGCTTAGGTGTGTGTGTTGAGCCACGGGGAACTTGTAATTCATAGGCTGTGTATGTTGTGTGTGTGTAAAATGTGTTAGGTACGGTTTGAATGGGACTTGTAGGGTGAAGGGGTGTTACGGTAATTGGGTTATGAATGTCGACAGTGTAGTGTTTCCTGTATTATATGAAGCATGTGTAGAATGGGGGAATATTAAGTGTGGGGCTTTTAAGTATGGGGTGTCTTGGGTCAGGAGTTTGGGTTCTTCCATGAGGGTGTGTTGTATGGAGTATGGGTGTGGAGCGTGTATGGGTATGGAGTTTGGGATGTTGTGGGTGTATTGTTTTTAGGAGAGAGTGAAAAAGGATGGTGAAGAGGAGGTGGTGAGGGTAGCGGGGCATCCTGGTCGGTTTCAAGAAATAAACATTTCTTGACTTTGATGCTTAATTGGAATCTTTGGAGATTAGGAACATTAGCAGGAGTCAAATTATATATACTATATCATCTTTGCAGTGAATTCACAAACTTACGAAATTATTTATTCATATTTGCAGATTCTCCTTTCCTACAGCTTTGAATTGCTTGGGTGGTGCCCTTTCTCCGCCAGTAATTTAAAGGATAGTAACACTAGCATATCTAAGGGGAGGCCTTTTGAAAGTAGAGCTGTATGCATTATGAAGGACTTGGAGTTAAAACCAGTACCCCGTGAACACCACCTTTGACCGTTTGAGTTTGGTGAAAATACTGTAGTTAGATCTTTTTAACCATTCATTTTGGCATTAAGTTAGAAGCTGTTATGTACAGGCAGACTTTTCCCTCTTTAACACTGTCACCGTTGCACATGGTATAACACTGGAATTTTAGGTAATGTTTTTCCTTACTCAGATGCTGTTGGGCTTTTCTTCCTCATTGATTCTTTGACTATTTTTTAAGTTCCTTTTTTCTCAGGTTAATATTCTGATGTCCATTTCCAGAGTTTGCTCTTTTGATTATCCAGTGGTATTTGTTATTAGGAATATGCACATATCTTCATTTGATTATATTGTAACTTCTAAACTCAGACAGAAGGAAGTTGACCACAAGATTTTAAGGTTTTGTAGGATTAGGATTGGCCTGAGATGTTTTGCCTGTCTAAATGTTTTCATCAGCCTTTCTCCCCCTCCAATGCAGTTGTTTATCTAATGTGAAATTCAATTGTTTGAAAAAAGGACTCTATTTCCAGGAGCAGTTTTATCCTATTATAAAATGTTTATGGTCTGATAGGAATGGCTTTAGAAAGTGAGAAAAAGTGTGCTTTACCTCATTAAAAGCTTTAAGGTAATTATAACTTTATTTTGATTTCCCAAAACTTTTTACTTCCTCTAATAATTTGTAATGGCTTACTCTCTTCTTTTTTCTTTTGCTTAAAATTTTTTCTATTATTTCTGGTTTTGGTTGTTATTTATTTATTTTTTTTTGCTCGATCTCTTCTTACTTTCAACAATTATCAATATTATGCACATTGTGAACCTTATTGGCCAAGGACAGGAAATTTAGGATTCTTGTACTTTTAGGCAAAATCAGATTTTTCTGATAAGCATTTGGATTACAGCAGAGAATACTTAGATCACAGCTGAGACTTAATTGGGCAAGCATTCTGATTACATTAATACACTCTAATTAAAGTTTTTCTCTTCAAACCAATGGCAGTTTCTGAATAATTGTTTACAAAATGTAAAAAAGCATTGGCAGTGAACAATTTTTTGCTAAATGGTTGAGCTAATTTCATATTGTTAAATAGGTAAGAAAATGCTATGATAGAATAAAAAGTTACTTAGAAAACTGTACACATCTTATGATCATTAGCCCTTTCTGTGTGTTTAGGAACCTTGTAATCCTCTTGTAAATGATGATTCTAGATCAGTTTGCTCTTGTGGACTTGGTTTTAAAATGGACTGTTTTTTCTATTTTTTAACATTACACAAGATTTTTATAGGATTAACTTTTAAATTAGCATTTATCCCGTTATCAGAACCAGATTATGTATGTATGTATTTATTCATTAAAGCTTTTATTGATTTATTTATAGAGAGGGAAAGGGAGGGATAAAGAGAGTGAGAGAAAAATTGATGTGTGAGAGATACATAGATTAGTTGCTTCTTGCACACCCCCAGCCAGGGACCTGGCCCACAACTCAGGCATGTGCCCTGACTGGGAATTGAACCTGCAACCTTTAGGTTCAGAGGCCAGCACTTAATCCACTGAGCCACACCACCCAGAGTAGAACCAGGTAATTTATGTTAAAGATTGCAGCTGAAGACTTGGAATGTGGTTACTTGGATGATACTGGTTTCTTCTATAACTGGGTAGATAAGCTTCCCACTCAAAAGTGAACATAGTTGAATTATATTCTATTTACTTTGTATGATTATGAAAATTAAAAATAGTTTTGAGACCTCAGTTTTTCCTTTATAAATAGAGATGATTTTTAAATGTGATTAGATTTAAAAATTAAAGTTTTAGATTTGGTTATTGCTGGATGATAGATTCTTGTAAATTCAGTGTCTAAATATGGAAGAAACTTTTGAGAAGGATTTTTGTATTGCCTTTAATTATTTCAACTCAATAGAGGAGTTTCTGTTGAAATCAGTGGAGGAGTGGATAACAATCATATGAGGTAAAGAGAACATGATTTTACTATGTTCAAGTTTGGGTGGGGAAATAGATTCACTCAGTTATGGATGAAACCAGTATCATTCATGTATCCAGATTCCAAGTCTTTACTATAGTTATATACACATACATGTTTGTATATACATATATAAAAATCAGTAAAACCTGGTTTCTTATAAGTGGATGGAAGATTACAGCTGAAACTTAATGGGATAGGTTTGGGACTTTGTAGATGAGTGAACTCATTACAAAGCAAATATATTCCAAATTGTCCTCTAAAAGATTTTTTCCCCCAAATAAAAACAGCTCCCAATTAAAACAAAATTTAAATTGTGGTGAAATACACATAATATTTAGTTTGCCATCTTAACCATTTTTAAGTGTCCTGTTTAGTGACATTAAATTTATTCACTTTGGGCAACCATTACCACCATCCATTTCCAGAACTCTTTATCTTGCAGGACTGTAACTCTGTACTGATTAAACAGTAATTTCTCATTCTTTCCCTTTTCCAGCCCCTGGCAACCACCATTCTACTCTCTGTCTCTATGAATGTGAATACTTTAGGTAACTCATATAAGTGGAATCATACAGTATTTGTCCTTTTGTGATTGGCTTATTTCACTCAGCATAATGTCTCCAGTGTTCATCTGTGTTGTAGCATGTGTCAGAATTTCCTTTTGAAGGCTGAGTAATATTACATTATATGTGTATACACCACATTTTGTTTATCCATTTATCTGCTAATGGACACTTTTGCCCATGTTTTGGCTATTATGAATCATTAATGAAGTTACGAGCATGGTATACAAATATCTGTTCAAGTCCCTGCTTTCAGTTCTTTTGGGTATATATCTAGAAGTGGGATTACTGGATCATATGGTATTTTTACTTTTGATTTTTTGGAGGAACTGCCATACTGTTTTTCACAGCAGCTGCACCACCAAAATTTTGAATGCAGAGAATGACAGCATCCTATTTAATCAATTATTTGTAAATTTAACTCTAAGCAAGTGAGTTCAGAACTTGGAATAGTCTAATAAAAATCAGCCTTAAATGTAATAGTGTTAGTATAGTATGTTGCTGGTAAAGGAGTGAATAGACTAGTACACCTACAGTTTTGGCTGGCCAGAGCCAGGAGGGGGTGTAAAGGAATTTCCTGGGTTTAGAAAATAGGCAGGCATTGATGAATCATGAGATATTTTTTCTCTCTTAATGTCTTTTTATAACAAAGAGGTGCATTCAGGTGAAAGTTCCAAATTTATTCTTTTGTAATTGAGAATTCTTTAACTTTTTTTTTTTTAGATTAAGTGTAGAACAAAAATCATTTGATCAGACTGACTTTTGAGACTGCATTTTGTTTGTTTACAGATGCAAAAATGGTTATCCAAACAGAATTGCGGTTGCTATCAGATCATTTCAGTAGTTACCTCTTAACTTTGGGTCTAGATGAACTAAAAATGAGGCTCCCCTCTTTGAGTTAATGTCATGTTAATTTCCTTTTTTAAAAATTTATTTATTTTAAAGAGAGACACACACACAGATAGACATCAGTTTGTTGTTCCACTTATTTATGCACTCATTGGTCGATTCGTATATGTGCCCTGACTGGGCACATAGTTGTTTGACTGGGGATCAAACCTGCAACCTTGGTGTACTGGGACAATGCTAAAACCAGCTGAGCTACCAGGCCACAGCTGTCAGGCTAATTTCTTTTTCCTCTAAGATAACATTTTTATAACATGATTTATCTGGGAATAAAAAAGAGTGGTGTAGCCATTTAGATTAGTCTAAATGTTGGTTTCATATTTTTTTATTTGTGTTTCTTTTACTGATAATATGAAGACATAGATCGTAACACTACTTAAGTGAAGTAAAAAAAGAACAACTCTCATTAGTGGTATTTTCTTTCAGACTTTTTTGGGAATAAAACCTTATCTGCCTTGCTAGAAAGTATTCGTTTTGAACCTAGTTCAGTGGTCACAGATTAATACGTCCTTTATTTCTTTTCTAATTTGACATTGGTTTTTTATGTTACTTTCAGTTATGTTTCCTAGTCAACATAGTTGTGCTTTTGTTTTCTCCTTCTTGTCTTTCCAACTAGTAATACCTTGGCTGCCTAAATTGCTTTATACATTTTCATATATTGGATTATCACTGTGGGGTTTTTAGGTTTTCATGTACCTATCCACTCCTCTTTGAAACATGGATTCTTTCATGACACTACTGGTAACTCACTTGTAGGTA